AATACACACACACACACACACACACACACAAATATATATATATATATAAAAAAAGAATTAATTTTTTTATCATATTTAATTATTTTCAATAATTTATATCTATCTTCTAACACCAGAACAACGAAGAATATATATATATATATTCCCTCGATCAAATAAAATAATTCGAAATTCCAATTCGTCCGACACGATTACAAGACAATAGTGAAGAGTGAAGAGTGAAGAAAAACCACAGAGATAAGGCGAGGCACAGTGATGAATTAAACCAAGAAAGAAAAGAAAAAAAATACAATAAATAAATATAGAGAGAATGTACAAGAGGAAAACGTGTATGTTTACCAGGGCGACGACTTACGATATCATCAATAGAACATACCATGGTGGCGCGATTCTCTTTTTTACTTTTATTACTTTTTTTTTTTACTTTTTTTTTATTCTTTTACTCTCTCTTTCTCTCTCTTTCTCTCTCTGTCTGTGTGTCTGTCTGTCTCTCTCTATTTCTCTCTCTTTCTCTTTCTTTTTTATTATCAACAAGCTAATTTATTTATTGAAGAGATGAGAAGATTTTTAAGAAACACTTTCGGCTGGACAAATCTCGAGACCACGGAGGACGAGAAGGATCGTCGTGGAAAAATCGCGAACTGGATGGATTGTTGTACTCGCGACGAAAAGAGAAATTGTTCTCTACGTGGTCTAGAACTGGTAGATGGTATGGTTGCTGTCTGTCGAACACTGTCACGAGGAACGGCCATCGTCGCGGTAATATTCGAAAACGAGGATATAGCGGTTGCGTAGCGATGCCGGACCGCACCCCGCAACCTCCAGCCAATCGTGAGCTCCTTCTACACGCTTGTTCACGGGCCTTAAAGCTTTTGGAAAGGCGCTTGCGCTATTTCTGGGATGCAGACGGTGCCGCGAGGCTCGAAAATCAGGGCCGTCTTTTCGTTCTCGACGTTCCAGCCAGCTCTTTCTCCCATCTTTATCTTTTTAAAGTTAAATCAATTCTTATCGCAATCGTACCGATTGTGATGCTCGTATGCATGCGAATTATCACGTTCCTTTTCCTATTCCAGCGATCTTGGACAGAATAATTTTGGAGGTTATATAGATCGATTGGAATAGATCGTTTCGAATAATTTTGGAGATTAAATTAATTCGTCCATGTAAATTTACGGAATTGGCGAGAGTTTCGAAGACTTGTGTGATATTATAAATTGCTTTAATTGATCTGGAAGGAATAAGGAAGAGGATAAAAATTTTTCGTCGCCTTTGCTGAGAGCCGTTGTTGTTGTAAACGGATTATAAAAGGGGAGCGAGAATTTTTTTTTTTTTTTTTACGAGGAAAGTGTACCGTTGTAAATAATTTAGGATTGAAATTACAGAGCAGCAGAGGAAGGCGGCGGAGAAATGTGACGGAATGGATTCCTTTTTAATTTTAGACGTCCGCTGGAGCAACATATTCACTCGAGTCTTGTTCATTGAGACGACTATGCGCATATACGTCTTTTTAAGAAGACGAGAACGATATTGCTGCATCGGTACGAAAATAGAGAATGAAAATTTTGCGATTTGCGTAAGCCACGGAAGAACGACGGAGGCATAAAAATTCATGTGGAACTCATGGTTTGGAATCGAGACAAGATCTTGTTACAAGTATAAAATGTTGTAGTACAGCATATTGTATGTATTGTTGCGTTGCTTCGATTAATAGGAAGATGACGATTGAAATTTCGATCGTTCAAAATGATGATCGTGAAAAAATTTCAAAATTTAAAAAATTCGTGAATCACTCGTGCTTGAATCTTTAACACTATAATTCTAAGATTGTGAATAGGTTTGAATTAATCGCGAATTATAAAGTGATTACAAAATTTCTTATATTCATGTTAAAACGCTGCTCAATTTCTTTGTAACTGCATAGATTTCAAATTTTGATCGCATATTATATTCAAATCGAACGGTTAGTTTTCTGGGTGCATGATGTAATTATTTTGAATAGAAATCCAGCAGCACATAAAATCGCATAACATTGACCGATTCGTCTGTTAAATGCTAAAACGCGAATCGAACGAAGAAGTAGAAAACTGGTTGCGCGTTAAAACCCAAGACTTTATATCTTTTCTCGAAAGATTCCATCAATAATGACAAACGTTGGTCACGATTTGTAATAAAATATTTAATAAGATGATTGTTACTGATAATAATCGTTACCGAATAATAAGGATTGGATAATCCGACTCACGCAAGAATCAAAGAGTTATCTGGAGAATGTAGTTCGAGATTTGGAGAAGATCCAAAATATATGCAACTGAGTAATATGTTGCATTAAATCTTGTAAACTATTATTTATTATTGAACAGAGCAATTGTCGAATGTTTAATCTAGCTGTTGAAGAATTTTAAGTTTTGGTAGGCTCTAATTTTCTAATGTTTCCTATGTAATAATCGAATCGCAGTTTATTCAAAGAATATTGTGAAAATTACGCGAATATCACGTGGCGACATAAATCAAACAAGGAAACTGATATGTTTTTGCCAAATGCATAGCTACAATTGCGCCAATATGAGTTTCTCACGTTATAACAGCCTTGCAAAATTATTCCGTAATATACACATACTAAATGCTTTAATAAACATAAATTTATAAATCTTTCATTCCTAAGACATAAGGATTTTAAATATTATATTTCAACAAATATTATATAATTTAAGTTACGAATTATATTATACAAAATATAACAACTCTAATGCAACAAAATGCAAATGATAATAGCATAGTATGATATAAATGAATGTTTGCATTTTCACTTCTGCATAAGAATAGAATATACAATTTGGCGAGAGATTTTCTTTCGACGGGTTATACGTTGGCATGTGTCCAAGTTAAACAAGCAAATAAAGCATTAGAATGGCCGTGTTGGACTGCATATAATGGATTACAATCTGCGATCCGTTATAATTCGTCATCAGTAATAGAATCAGTTTAATTAATTCGAACGAAAATATTCAGTTGCCGCAAACGACGGTAAATTATAACTCGAACTGTTGTAATACAAATATTGTCGATCCACGTAATAATAATTTTCAATCATGAAATTCTTTCCATAAGCGTTTGATCTTCTTCGTTGTATTTTTTGGGAAATTTGATATTATTAATCATTTTCATATCTAAATATAAAATATGCATAATTTTAATATTATTGATATTATTAATATGATAAAATTGTGACATTAAGTTATTATATTATTCCTGTTGAAATTACAATCTAAATTATATAAAAAAAACATTTAATGATTTTGTCTCAAATCAGTGTAAATTCAATGTAAAATAGTGAAATTACTATAATTAAAAACGATTTTATTAAATTTATTCATTCACTCATGAAAACAATTGCAGAATCACACATGTATCGATGGTTTTAAATGATTACCATTATGCATTCCATATATATATTTCCACAACATATATTTTATTGAGATCCAGTCGATAATAGTGCTAGCAATGCACTCATTGCACCAACAGAAAGTATATAATTTACAGCTGGTGTAAATGTCTTCAGAATATAGAAAGAACATACAATTACAAGAGCTAAAAATAAGGCATTATTGTAAAAAATTGAAAATGTTGTTGCTTCATAATCAGCTACTTCATTTTTTTTCCATAAAATTCTGAAAATTTAATTATTTTACATTAAATTTGAAATATATACATATATGTATATATATCTAATATTATTCTTTGTGTTTAATAATTTTTTACCTTTCATCCTTTTCCTTTTTACTCATTTTTTTATCTTCTGATAATTTTCTGCTCATTTCCTTTGTCACTGCATCTTCTCTTTTTACTGCAATCTAAAAAATATATAATTATTTAAAATAAATGTAAAAATATGAATACTTTTTTTAACATAACTATGTTAATGAAATGTTTTATTAATAATTAATAGTTATTAATAGTTTACAATACCTTATGTTTTAACACGAATTTCGTATTTTTGTATGCAAGAGCAAGAGTATAGGTACTCGCTAATGTGACTAAAACAAAGGATATTAAATTGGCATAGATATCGATCAAATGGATTCTCCAAAAAAGCCCTGTAACATAAAAATAGAGGTTATCTTAAAAAAAAATTACAGTTTCCATATAATTATTTTATTTAATAAAACTATATAATATAAACATATATGGAATTCATAATAAAATTCATATACCATTTATGGAATAATGATATAAATAATATTTATAAACTTGTAAAGAATATATACTCACAGATGGGAATTGCCGAAACAATAAAAGCATTGCCATAAAATAAAGCTGAAGATTTTGTTGATACATTTCTTGAGAAATCTTGAAGAAGAAGTTCTTCTTCTTTTGTAAATGCTTTTGATTTTCCTGACATTTTTTTAAATTATCTTCTCAAGAGATTTCAATTCGTTCCAAACCAATTGTCACTACTTTCGCGCGAATAGAAAATCTTGTTAATCTTTAGTGTACAGTGCGCATGCTCACAAACAGATTGTGTGGAGATTTGTGACAACGTGTCCATAGAAACGTCATTTTGATAAAGTATAAATTCTGCTATTCAAAGAAATGTTCCTTAAACTTTTCGTCACATTTTCATTCGATTATAAAGCAATCTATTATTTTTCAAAAAATTTCATTTTTTAAATATTTTAATGATATTTAATATTCTGATTAAAATTTATTTTAAAAAAAATCACTTAGAAATTGCTTAGAAGAATATATTCAATCGAAACATTCATTTATTTATATTATTTATAAAATTATTTATTTTAATAATTCTTTTTTTTTATAGAATATATTGAATATAATATGAAAGAAATTAATAAAAATAAAATGTTTTATAATTATTATTTTATAATTTATATTTTTAGTTTTAAATATTGTCATTGGTTGTATCTTTTATATACTATCAAATGATTGGTTCTCATATTAGTAATTTTCTGATTGGCTATCTTCAAGCAAATTCAAGTTCAAATACTGCAGCGGATATTATTTAACCGCTCTTTGAATGTTGTACAAAGCATTCTATGTGTATATTTTAAGTTTTCCTAAAAATTATATTTAATTTAAATTTGTGACACGAATATAACAGAAAATATGCATTTGTGTGTTGAATAAACATATTGTTTTAAAATTATTGGGTAATTTAACAATAAATGAATAATTTATAAACGTGTGACTACGAGGGATTTGATTGTATTATTTTGGTATACGAGGTTTGTTTTAGATAATTATATCGTTCGTACATAAATTTCTGATCACGAACAATGTATTTTAGTTGTAGATAAATAAATAATTCATTATTGAAAGTAATTTTTTAATCAATTTAAAGATTTATGAAATCATTGATTTAAGAATGCATGAAGAGGAATAAATTTGATAATAATTAAGTAATACATTACAAATTGTGATTTTATATATTTATAAATATATAGGTTTTTAGTTAAATTTTTTAAATGCATGCAATATATTTTTATTATTATTATTATATTAATCTTTATCTCTAATAATTCTACATAGATGGAGTCACGTTTACCAAAGCCAAAATTTAATTTATCAAAAATAGTAAGTACAGATAATATAAAAACAAATCAAAAAATGTCAAAATATCAAAATGATTTGCCTGATGCAAGCTCTAATCATGTTTCTGATAATTTAAAAAAAACTAAAAGTACAATAAATATCGCTGCAAAATGTAGAAATGAAAATAAACCTCCAACAAAACAAATTTTAAGTAGATCAAAAACTATGTCTTCCATTACTACTAGAGCTATGAAAAGACCAGCTAATGCTCCTATTGTACATGGAGAAACTAAAAAACCTTTTACTAAGCCTCCTATTAAGCCAAAAGTTATGCAACGAACTGGCACTACATTAACAAGTAATACTATTAGCAAATCTAGTCAAGATACTACAAATAAAAAAATACAGAATAATACTACAACTAAGCCTTCAAAGTGGGACTTAAAGGGTCGATTGGCTCATACTAGTGACGAACTGTCTAGTATACGACAGAAATATAAAGAAACTTTATCAAAATATAATGAAATTCAAGAACAATTGAATATATTAAAGACAAATGAAAATGCATATAAAATAAAAGCAGAAGAATATGAAAATTTAAATAAGACATTAAATAATGAACTTAATGAATTAAAACTAGAAATAAATAAAATGCAAGAAGAAAAAGAAAATTTAAAAAAATGTTTAAAAAATACAGAAGAATCATTTAAAAATGCTTCAAAAATGCTGGAAGAGTTTAAAGAGAAATGTATTTCTCAAGAAACATTACTTCTAAAACATGAATTTTTAATAAAAGATTTAGAAACAAACTTGGAAGCTGAAAAAAAAGATTAATGAAAAATTGACTACAGACAAAAATGATTTGCAATCCTTGGTTCATACAATGGACAAAGATCGTAGAATTTTGCATAATGCAATACAAGAAATGAAAGGAAATATAAGAGTATTTTGTAGAGTCCGTCCTAGAACTCCAAATGAGTTTGGAAAACCGTATGTATTATGTACATAATCAAATATTTAATTTTTAAATACAATACATTTTATAATAAATATCTATTATCCATAGGATGTGTATTATGAACTTTATAGATGAATGTACTATTGAAGTAGGAAAATTTGATGGTTCTGATGCAATTAGTTGTAGTGGAAAGCTAAGAGGAACCCGACAAGAATTTACTTTTGATAAAGTTTTCCCTTCAACAGCTTGTCAAAAAGATATTTTCGAAGAATTAGCTTTGTTAGTTCAATCTGCCCTAGAAGGGTATAATGTTTGTGTATTTGCATATGGTCAGACTGGTTCTGGTAAAACATACACAATGGAAGGTTTACCAGGCATTGAAAAAGAAGGCATGATTCCTAGAACGGTATATATTCTTTGTTGATATATATATATATATATATATATATTTTATTTGCAAAAAAAATTTTTTTATTGATTCAGGTACGACATATATTTGAAGAAATGAAAGAATTTCAGTTACTTGGCTGGGAATATCGAATAGAAGCTAGTTTTCTTGAAATTTATAATGAACATATTGTTGATTTACTTGATTCTCAATCAAAAACACATGAAATTCGAATGGCCGATAGTAAGGGACATGATTTGTATGTCAGTAATCTTAAAATAGAGGAAATTCATAGCCCTGAAGAATTACATGAATGTCTTTTAACAGCACAACGTAATAGAGCAGTTGCAGCTACTCAATCGAATGAACGGTATATTTATTTTTTTTTTAATTATCTTATAAATAAAAAACAATAGATTTATAATTGCAAAATTTAATATTTTAGATCATCAAGATCTCATTCAGTAGCAAGAATAAAACTAATTGGAATGCATAAGACAAAAGAGGAGGTTTCGATAGGAAACCTAAACTTAGTTGATTTAGCAGGATCTGAAAGATTAAAAGGTGAAGAATCGATACGATTAGCAGAAACGAAAAATATAAATAAATCACTGGCAAATTTGGGCAATGTTATTCTTGCTCTTTTGAAAAAGCAGGAACACATTCCATATAGAAATTCCAAACTCACTCATTTATTAATGCCATCTCTAGGTGGTAATTCAAAGACTTTAATGCTATTGAATATATCTCCTTTAGACGAATGTTATAATGAAACATTGAATTCATTAAGATTTGCTAGCAATGTAAACAGTTGTAAAACAGGTAACGCAAAAAGAACGCGAACAGTTTTACAAAATACTACATAAAATTTTCCAGGACATAATATTTTTGTTTTTAAAAACAACAAGATGATAGCTTTTAGCTATATTTAAACTATTTTAAATATTCAAAGATTAGCCTTTTGTATCATCTCATTCTTTTTTTTAAAATTATACCAAAAAAACTGTAAATAATTTCATATAAAATATAATCTTATAATGATGTTACATACATATATTCTGTTTTTTTTTCTTTTTAATTAAATTCAATCCTTTTAATTTTAATTCTTAAATTTTATATAATAAGATAATTTTCGAAATATTGTGTATTTTTATACACTTTTTATGCAAAATAATTGTTAAAAATATTAATTATAAATTAAAATATATTAAAATTCTAAATAAATGATTTGTTCACTATTTGAAAATATATAAGTGTTATACTGTGCTAAAAAAAATATAAAATTAAATTACAGTAAAGAGGATATTTTTATAATATATTAAAATTTTAAAAGTTTAAAAATAAAAACGTTCAAATACAAATAGAAATATTTTATTTAAAATGAGGCACGTAAAATAATTATTTATGTATTGATTTTATATGGATTATGTAACTTGTAGATACTTCTAATAGGCATGGATAAAAAAATTGAGATTTCTTTAAATTTGCTAAAAAATTTTGAAATTCTGGCGAAGAGCTAACAATGCCTCTTTGTATAACTTTTTTTGATAAACAATTATCATTTCTTTTATAATTATTTAAATTTTTCAAATTACTTTTTATAAACTGTGAATCTTGACATATGAAATGCTTCATTGATAAATAACTTTTTAATTGTTGATTATTGAAGTATTGATTAAGTTCACAATTGTTGAAAAGCAATAATGTATAAGTATTAAAAATAATTTCATTTTGAACAATATTTATATCTTTATCCAATATATTTTTATTTTTTTCCAAGTTCAATTTATCTTCTTCACCATCATAACTTAAATTTGTTTGAAAATAGAATGTATTCTGATTGATTTCAGAATTTGTCATAAATTTTCTTCTAAATTCTAACAGAGCAGAGTCATTTTTATTAAAAACATTTTTTTTACGACTTTTTAAGAAAGTTTCAAAATAAGGAATAATTGAACTGCTGCACATCCTGTGAAAATCAATTTAAATTAAAAATGTAATTGTTATTCATATTAATATTTTATATTAAGAAAATTTTACTTACATATTTTTCCATTTATTTATCACTTTTTTAAAATATCCATGTGAATATATGAAAAATAGTATAAAAGATACAGATACAAAGATATAAATATATTGAAGCATAATTTTTAATATTAATATCATGTTACAAAAATTATAATTTGTTTTTGTAATATTTACGATATCTTCTATATTCTTTGCCTTTATTGAAGTATTATATGTAATTCCAAGATCTGAATTTTACAAATAAATTAACGTTTAATTAAAATCATTATTCTATTTATTAATAATAAATTTATTTTAAAAAACATTTACCTTGTTCTATTATAATTGAATTATACATATTACTTGTACACAGAGCTATCCATAATCCAAATCCCCAGAGAAACAAAATATTCCACGATATATAATGCGATCTTTTTTGCTTAAATAACTTTAAGTAACGACAATACATTGCACAAATAATAGTACTTAAGAATATCTACTTTTTTTGTTAGTAGATGATTGTCTACTACCATTATTTTGCATTGTGTGCGTTACTTTTGTCTAATTCGTTGCTACTCGAAAAAGTGTTGTAATATCGGCTCAAAATAAATTTTGTAAATGTACATCAATAATAAATTGAGAGATCACATAAATAAAAAAGAAGACAATCTATGCAAAATGGATGCTCAACAATTTCATATCTATCATATACTATATCATTTATTTAAATGTCAGTAATTTAGAATCTACATAAAAGAAATAAATTATTATGACAATTATTTCTAAAATATTAATTAAAATTTGGGATGCACAATATTTCAACGCGACTTGATACTCTCAATAGACAGCTCATCATTATTTCTGAACTACAAAAAATGGAAGAAGAATATAAAGTGTATACAACATGTAAAAAAGTAAATAATAATTGTTATAAAAATAAATAATAATTATAAGAAATATAAATATAATGATAAAAAAACTATATATATATGTGTAGTGTGCTATACCCAATTATTTTGGCAAATGTTGTTACTGTGCTCAAAAAATTTTATATATGAAAGAGAAATTAAATACTCTCAATTATGCTGCTGAATGTACATATGACACTCGTAAAAAAAGGATAGTATGCACTTCAGAAAAATGTAAAACACGCAGAAAGTTACATTTTTATAAAAATACTTCATCAATTGAAGGTATATCAATGTCATTGGTCTAAAAAAACTAGTAGAATATTATTAATATGAATTATTTATTAGATTTTAAAGATGAAGATAAAGATGATCAAATAAAAAATACTATAAATGATAAAATAAAAAATATAATTACTAAAGAATTGAAAGAAGTAGAGAAACCTAAGCTGGTTGAAATATTAATTAAAATTTGGGATGCACAATATTTCAACGCGACTTGATACTCTCAATAGACAGCTCATCATTATTTCTGAACTACAAAAAATGGAAGAAGAATATAAAGTGTATACAACATGTAAAAAAGTAAATAATAATTGTTATAAAAATAAATAATAATTATAAGAAATATAAATATAATGATAAAAAAACTATATATATATGTGTAGTGTGCTATACCCAATTATTTTGGCAAATGTTGTTACTGTGCTCAAAAAATTTTATATATGAAAGAGAAATTAAATACTCTCAATTATGCTGCTGAATGTACATATGACACTCGTAAAAAAAGGATAGTATGCACTTCAGAAAAATGTAAAACACGCAGAAAGTTACATTTTTATAAAAATACTTCATCAATTGAAGGTATATCAATGTCATTGGTCTAAAAAAACTAGTAGAATATTATTAATATGAAATTATTTATTAGATTTTAAAGATGAAGATAAAGATGATCAAATAAAAAATACTATAAATGATAAAATAAAAAATATAATTACTAAAGAATTGAAAGAAGTAGAGAAACCTAAGCTGGTTGAAATAGAGAAGAAACCTAAGTTGGTTGAAGTAGAGAAACCTAAGTTGGTTGAAGTAGAGAAACCTAAGTTGGTTGAAGTAGAGAAACCTAAGTTGGTTGAAGTAGAGAAACCTAAGTTGGTTGAAGTAGAGAAACCTAAGTTGGTTGAAGTAGAGAAACCTAAGTTGGTTGAAGTAGAGAAACCTATGTTGGTTGAAGTAGAGAAACCTAAGTTGATTGAGCTAGAAAAACCTGAGTTAATCGAATTAGAGAAAAAAAATAAATTTAATAAAATAATTCCACATAAAGAGTTGATTGAGTTAGAGAAAGAAAACAAATCTGATCAAATAACTCCACAGATTTATAAAGTACAAGATGAAATAATTGATACATTTGAAGAAAAAGGTGAACAAACTGTTCTTACAAAAAATAATTCTATAACTTTAAACACAAATATGCAAACTGAAATAATAGAAGAAGAAGAAATGAATAAGAATTCTGTAAATGAATTAGAAGAAATTAATAATACTATAGATATTTGTGCAAAAGACAAAAAAATTTTTGAGAGAATTCAAAAGGTTTTATTTATAATAATTATTTTTTGTTTATTTAAATTTATATAAATGTACTTTATTATTATATTATATTTTATTATATAATTATTATATAATAATATTTTTATTATAAAAATGTAGGACTTGTTAAATGAAAAAAAACAAACTGAAGAACTTGAAAAAAAATTAAAATCTCTGACTTGCAATATAAATTGTTTAAAAGAAGATAGTGAACAAAGAGCAGCTTGCTTAAAAGATGCATTACAAACGGCTGAAGAACAAAGAAAAATTGCAATGGATTTAGTGAAACAAACAAAAATTCAAATAGATTCAGATAAAGAAGACAAAACTGAATTATTGAATGAGATCACAAAATTACAAGTATGTACTACAGATAGTATTTATATATGTATATATATATGTGTGTGTATGTGTGTATATGTATATGTATATGCATATGCATATGTGAAATAAAAGTATTTTATAAAATAATTATTTTTATATTTACAGCAACAGATTATTGAAATTACACATAAAAATAATGATTTATTGCAAGAACGTGACATTTTAATGAATAAATTGAAATCTTTCTCAGAAGACGAATCTAAAAAGTAATTTTACAATATTTAATGTAAAATTAAATATAAATTCTTATTTCTTTAAAATATAATCTAAGAATCACTTTAGATACTAAATGCATGCTTCAATCATACAAGGTGTGAGGAGGTTGAAGAAGAAGTGAACAAGATGAAATGTGCAGTCAAAGAAAAGGAAAATGCTTTAAATAAAGAGAGAGCAGAATTCATAAATATGATTTTAGAACTCACAAATATAATAAACATACAGAAAAGAAGGATATGTAAAGTAACTGGTATATGTAATAAACAACAAAATAACATACATGAGAAAGATAAAAAATTATCTCAAAAAAGTAAATATAAAGAAAAAATCAAATATAAAAAATTAAATTATGATTTTATATTAAATTATGATTTAATTTATATTAATAGGATATTGAATTATCAGAGATAAAAACAGTATTGCACTCAAATAATTGTACTTTTAAAGAAATGGAAGAGAAAATAAAACATTTGCAACATTGTTTATGTGAAGAAAGACAGACTTGTGATTGTTTAAAACAGGAATTAGAAACTAGAAAAGAAAATCATTTGTCTGAATTGAGAATAAAAGAAAAAATGATAGATGATCAAAATAAAACAATCTCAAAACAGAAAAAGGTAATATTTTTATGACAAAGATAAATTAGTTTAATTTTAAAGTTAAAATTTAGTTATATAGTTTAAATTTAAATTAGTAATATTATATTAAAAAAATATTTATTTTTGTTAGTTATTGCATGATAGTGAAGAGATAGTTCAACAAGTTGCTTCTGAATTTAATGAACTTAAAGATGAATTACATAAAGAAAAACAAAAGAATGAATCTTTGCAAATAACATTAGATCAGACTGATAGTAAATTAAGCATTTTATCCCAATGTGATCAATGTAAAAAACTTACAGCTGAAATAGATTATTTGAAAAAAGAAAAACAGAAAGCAATTGCTATTGCAAAATGTGCTTATCAAAAGCTACATCAAAATGTAAAAGAATATCAAAAAAAGCTTATTTGTGAAAGAAAACAGCACAGATATATGCAATTGATTATTGAAAGAAAAGAACATGAAATAGGATGTTTAAGAAATCAAATGTGTTACAATAATATGAAAATTATTTAAAAATAAATAGTTAATGTAGTATACACACAATTAAATTTAGTTGTAATTATGTTGAAAGTTTTTAAAATATTCAATATAATTATATATAAATAAATACTTGATAGTATTTATGTATTTCATAATATATATATTCTATTTTTGACAACTTACATATAAAGCATAAATATAGACTTTATATTGTAAATATGTACAATATACGATGTTGAATCAACATTGTTAATTATCTAAATTTTAATTTAGATATTCTTACTCTAATCTCAAGGAACAATAATTTAATATTTCTCTTATACCAAGCAATGTTATAATTTAAATGCATGCGCCAATTTTTATCTAAAAATTCTTTATAAAATATTGACATATCATCTGCTGTGATCAATGTTTTTCCTTGAGCTTTAAGAGTTTCTTGAAATTGTCTGCGTTCCTATAACATGATTAATAAATAAAATTTGAAATATTTTCAATTAACATTTCATATTAATTGTATAAAATAATGTTATACCTCAATGAAATTGTTATTGTGTTTCCGCCAAAAATTTTGATTCCAAATTTGCGTATCTTCTCTGGCTTCTCTAAATTTCTTTTCTAATCTGCTCTCATTTTCAGATTTTGCAAAAATAATAGGTCTTAAATTTGAAACTGGATCGGGCGGTCCAATTAAGTCAACTTGTGCTGGACTTTTTAGGTTAGAAGATATCTTCTAAGTAAAATAAAAATAACGAATGAGAATAAGATATACAATAATTTAAATGTCACATTGAAAAAAAAACTTACAGTGCTAAACAATCGAAATATATTGTTACTATATTTTGGTTTGATATAATTATACATTCGAGTCATTTTAGAAGTTCATACATGTTTTACGAGGTTATATTTATATCAATTATGCGTTTCGTTTTCACTCAATAATCTTACTATTACATAATCTTACTTTAAAATCATATTAACATAATGCGTGAAAAAATCGAAAAATACAAATATAATCCTTATTCAACAATCTTTTATTTATATATAACATAAGCTCTTTATAAATATAATCTAATAAATCTAATAATTCCATTATTTCATCTCTATATAAATAAGATTCAATTATTTCTGTAATAGATTTGAATATAAATCAATTATTTATATTTTACTTTAATGATATTTTTAAAATACTGGCTTTTTGTTCACAAAAAATAATTTTTTTTTAACATGATTAATTTGACAATAAATCATTTAAAAAAAAAAATTTAGAAATTCATTGAAAATGTATTGAATATTAAGAATATACTTTTGTGCTCATCTTGCTAGAATGAAATTATTTTTTTCTATTTTAAATTATAAAAAATACGATAAAAATTTAAAACAAATTTAGAAAAAATGAAAAGATTGCCTGTATTTAAGACTAGAGGTTTTTTTTTGTAAAAACATTCCTTTTATATGCATAAATACTAAGCAGAACTGAAAAAAAAGTTAACAAATGGTAAAAGAACAAGGAAAATATAATGCTCGCTCGCTCACCATCACATAATGTTATATAATCTTATTTAAAAATGTAACATTATCAATATTCCTACTTTTACAGTTATAATAAATCTACTTGGAAATAACCAATCAGATCTGCGAATACTTCTTTTCCAGCTCTGCATAGAAATTGTTTCAAAAAACATCCAAGTATGTATGTTTCTTAGATGAATATTGACAACATCATAAATCGTATTAATAATCACAGCATACATAAGTATTTTCTGAAACAATGATGTTCTTCATATCGATATTTAGTATTATTTGTATTTAATTGTCTTAAAAATTTAATATTTAATTTAAAGATTTCAAATATGCTGCATCGAACAAATCGAGCTCATTTGTTAAATAATTAGCCTTATTTCGTAAAACTTTAGCACTACTAGTTGCTTCTTCTAATATTCGTATTGTACTCGCAATATTTTTTAACTCAATATCCATTTCAGATGTTGCTTCGTCTACTAAATGGCACAAACGTGCAAAAGTGCTGGACAATTCTCTGAAATTATATTATATATATATATATGTATATAACATTAAAATTAATTTTCTAAAAACAAGAAAAAAAAAAAGTCATATTTATGTAACTTAAAATAAAATTAAAACTCACTGTTGTACTTGATGACTGCAATTTGCAGATGTGAGATCTACTATTAGTTTTAATTTCTTTGTAGCATGCGATACATATTGACGTTTAAATTCACGTTCTTTTGCTTTATTAGTCCATGTTAATCGTTCGTAAAGATATAAAGCACCGTATATAGCACCGGTTACAGCAACAAGTCTCCAACCAATTGTTTTCAACATCTTAAAAAAATTAATTTTGATAAAATAAAATTATTCTGTTTCATAATACAATTATTTAAACTTACGTAATATACTTACAAATCCAGCTACTATAAGTCCACCCATAGTACCCTGAGATGTTATAGATGCTATTGCAATTTTAGTAGCTAATGACCAATCATCCGATCTTGATTGATAGTTTGAAGTATTTGTCATAAATTTTATAGAATCAATACTTTCTGCAGGAGACATAATTGCAGGTGGCATCTTCAAATAAAAAATATTAATTGAATAATAATTTTATTATTACAAAAATATTTTGTTATTACATAAATAATCTTACTTCTTGTGGATAATTAGCGATTGGTAACTTTTTTCCTTGTCTTCCCGCGAATCTATTAATTATGGCTGTAATTCCCCAAGAGAATCGAAACTCTAAATCTTCGTGGAAATCTGCGCATAAATTGTCACAATTTAATCTGTACAAAATTTCAAATGGTTCTCGTCTTGGTAAAATGTTTAATGACATTTGTCTTTTATTATCTGGCAATAAACTTGCCATTCGTTCTGTCATTTCTCTTTGAGAAGTTTCAATATTCAATGCCAATGCAGTGCTGAGTCTTGCTCTTAAATTGGAACCTATATATAAATTTATAAAATTAAATTTTTCATAGAATAAAAATATAATGAATAAATTTAAAAATAATAGTACCTAAACCATTTTCTACATGTGTATGAAGTTCTCGTTTATATACATTTAAAACTACTGGATCAGTATGAAATGGAACACTGAATTCATCAACAAGTACTGCTAATCTACGAATTTCTTCACTAAGAGCTTTAGATACTCTTTGCTCAACATCTTCTACTATATGATGAATTTTGTCCTTCATTTCTTGAGTTAGTAACATTAACTGTTGTTCTGTATAATTTAATTTATCATGAACATTTTTTTTAATATGTAATTGTTCATTTTTCATTTTTTGTGCTCTTTCTAATATTTCATCCAGAGTTTGTCGTATTTCTCTAAAAAAGAATTATTTTATATATTTTATTTTATTTTATATATTGAAAAGCAATATTTAAACATTAAATAAATGTTAAATTATTTACGTAGCGATATGTTTTCCACGTTGAGAATGTTGTTCAAATTTCGTTTTTACAGCAGATTTTGAAATACATTCTTCAAACTTTCGTTCGAAATCTTGAAATTCGAAATAACGATTTTGAAATCCTTCTGCTAGTGCACCATCTACAAAGCGATTTGTATATATTAAAAATAAACAATTCAAATTACAATTATTTATAAATAAAGAATTGAAATATCTTACTATGTGCAGGTTGTCCACGTTGTTCTTGCATACGAGCTTGAAGAGTTTCTTTTGCCGATATAAAAAAAACTCTTTCTTCGGCATCTTTAGGCGTATAAACTTTTAATTCTTTCGACAAGAAATCGACGGCCCGTTCTTGGTGTTGTGCCCTTACCTACACAAAAGTAAATTGTAAATAAACATAAGTTACATAATAAATTGTAAAATATTGTAACTGTGAAAAGCAAGAAGCGTGTATTGAAATTTCTATTAAATATTATAAGCATAAAATTTGCATCATTAAAGAAAAAATTATATTAAAACAATCAATCAATTTAATTTTAATAAATATTTTTCATGCTATAAAATTTATGCATATCATTTACATTACATAGTGCATAATTAATTTTATTTATACATTGAAGTAATCTTGCATTAAATAAATTTTATAGATAATAAAATTTAAAAAATAGAATAACTTACTTCTTTTTGCTCTTTGACCAGCTAAGAGATAAAGCGGATATTGTGTAAATTATTGAAATAAAGCTGCCACTGCATAATGCTATTTATTATTAGTAAATTTCTGCTTTATATATACATACATATATATATATTTTTAAATACACTAATATTAAATTAATTATATAATCATAGACAATTAGAAACAATAACCTTAATATGTAGTACCAGCTTTAATAAAAAAAATTCAGAATTTTTCTATTCAGAATTATACGAATTTGTTCTTAACAATAAATAATTAAATATATCTTTTTGATTATTTTATTATATGTTATCTTATTATTAAAATTATATTTATATAATATTATCTACATAACAATCAAAAACATGTACCTGTTCAAAAAATTCTGGTTCTGAAGCAGATGCATCCCATCTATTATTTAAGATGAAAATATTTGGTTTAGATAATTTTGTAGATACTTTATGGAAGAAATTTTTTTCCTATAATTATATCATTATAAATACATTCAATTTAAAATGAAAATATAAAATATCATAAAAATGAATATTTTAATTACTTACAGTCACCATTAAAGTAGATTCTGCATTGGCCACTAAAACAAAAACATCTGCATCCAAACAATGTTTATCAATCCATTCATCCAGATTTGGTGTTACATCTACTCCAGGGCTATCAACAAATACTACATCATCTCTTAATAATAAACATTTTTCTTTTGGCCAAAATATTCTTACTAAATGACTTTCACATAACTTTTCTTTACAAAGAGCATGGCCTAATTGACCAACTGATTGAACAGGTTGTTTTTCAGTAGATCCTTCTGTGATTAAATAAGATTCACTATTATCTGAACCTTCAACTTGTAAGAAACAATTTGTAGTATGTCCTATGCCACTTGGTAAGATTTTATCACGTAACATTGCATTAATAACTGTACTTTTTCCATTACTAGTTCTGTAATATTTATAAAAATATAATATTAATATATTTAAAATATATTTTTTTAACTATCTTTCATATTGTATTTCATATTGTGTAATATAAATTCTAATTATATACCTTCCAAAAAATGCAACTTTCATGTGATCCCTCTTAAGTACATCTCTAATTGCATGGACCTTAGCAACATAGCTTTCAATTCTTTGAGCTTCTTCTACAGTAACAATGTTACGTTCAGTTTGCAATGCTATAAAAATAATAATAAAAATAATAAAAAAGTTTAATATTATATATAACTTAATTTTTATATTATATATTTAAATTATAATATTTTAATTACTTACATTTCATAAATTCTATAGTGTCCTGCACATAATCTTCTATTTCCATAAATATGTCATTGATCTTTTTCTTGGCTTTAACAAAAATCTGAAGAGGAGAATTATCAATTCGTATATCTGTTGATCTTAAGTGGCTGTCTCCTCCAATCATGGAAATTGTACGATTGATGTAGGCAGCCATAATTTGTTATTTAATTTATTATATATATATAATGTTTGGCAAAATAAGAAAAAGTACAGTGCAATATTTTAGGCAGGACGATGATGTAGTGCACAGCATGCAGGATCAACTGAAATCATAAAAAAAGCAATAATTAAATATCTTCTAAGAAAAATTTCTATTTAACACAAGATTATAAATATACATTTTATATATAATTATATAGAATCAAATAAGATAAAGAAATTAAATGAACATATATACATATACATATATAGAAACATATATTATTAACATATATATTAAGCATCATTATCTTTTATTTAGCTATTAAAATTATAACATATAATAAAATAAAATAAAATAATAACTTATATTGCAAAAAAATTTTTTAAACAAATTTAATATATAAAAAACAATATAGTACATCAAAACACATCAAAATACTACATATTTTGATATTAAAATTTATAAGCTTCTAATAATAAAAAAATTCATATTTTAAATCCTAAAATTATGCATAAAATACATAAATATACACATACACACACACATATATATATTTTTTATGCATATCTATCTCTGTCATAATTAATTATATGAACTATATAAACTCTATCATATAAGCACTATAAAATATGTTAATATAATAAGGTAATAAAACCTTTTTATCTTTAGTCATTGAAATGTCCTTTGCAATATAAATGAGATATAAGTTTCAAGTCTCCGTTAGTCCAAATGTTCTAAAACAATTTATCATCATATAATAAGTGTTTTATATTGAATTTATATAAGTATACAGCAAAATTTATATATTTTATAAAATATTCAAAGCAATAAGACTAATTGATTTTTCTATATCTCAATATCTAAATAATTATACATATAAAATAATTTGTTTTCGTATTGAACGAGCTATTTAAATTGTTATTTATCAATTG